CCAGGTTTCACTTAAAATGTCCGTCTTTCCCAGGGCGTGTGAGATTGCTTCCGTGGGCATCTAAGCATGGCAATTTGCTGAGGCTGGAAATTACGGCTCTTTCTGAAGGTCTAAAGTAATTGAATTCTCCCAGTTTTATCTTCCTCATCATCTTCCAGCAGTTCTTAAAATATCTCATCATGTGGAAACACCGACATTTCTTAATCCCATTTCCTAAATTACAGTTCAAACAGACACTCCATGCTGCCTAGGTCGTGGTAAAAAAAAAAATTGGATTTTTAAAGATAAGTGTTCGTTCTTTCAGGCCACTAAGGTCCCACTTAGTGCATCACGAGACAACTTTGTGTCCTGGAAATAACTTAAGCCCTAGGGAGAGAAGAATCCCTTGAGATCTATCAGGAGGAAGCATGGTACACACCAGTGTTGTGTCCTGGTGACAGAACGCAACACACAGCGAGCAAAGACCAGTGATGGAGCTCGTTGGCATGTGCTTTTATAACCGGCCCTTCCTGGGACCTTCCTTACTCCATGCTGAGAGCATAGTTCTAAACATATATACGTATATAAATGTGCTTAATACTCTCAACGACTATGAGGTAGGCACTATTATTTTTTTTTTAGGTAGGTACTATTATTATCCTCATTTTATTGATGAGGAGCTGAAGCACAGAGAAGAACAATAACTTGCCCACACTTCCACGGTAACTGGTGGCACCAGGAATTGAGCGCAGGCAGTCTGATTCTAGGACCCTCGTCCTTTGACTTTCTACGGTACCATTTCTCAGAACCAAAATATTCCGTATCATTTATTCCATGAGACTGAGGGGTGTCTATAGCCCTGACTGTGGACATCATGCCATCATCAACTAATGCTAGTTAAGTCTGGTGACCAGTGTGAGTGCCAGTTTTCTTAGTATAACTGCAGAGATGGAAGTCAGAGACTCCATTTCCTTCAATCATCAAAGACTACCTAGTTGTTAAAAAGAGTGGGCATTCCTCGCTTATTGACTCTTGTGAGTTCATCATAGGGTCACAGAACAAGAGAGTTGGAATGAACTTTGAGATATCATCTAGCAATTGGATCTGGAAATAAGAGGTCAACATATTTTCATCGATAAACAAGGTCTGTCCTCCTAGTTTAAATGCCCATAACATTCTGTACTTCTGTACTGTTGGTGCGTAAGATCCGTCCGCCTGTCTTCCTCACTCAGCAGCCAGTTCCATCCGCCTGTTTCTGTTTCACTCACCACTCACCTCCAGTGCCTAGTACTTGGGGAGCCACTCAGTACATATTTGTTGACCGGCCAACTGACTGACCGACCGATTCACTAACTCCCCTAAGGCAGGCCCTGCAACAACACCTGCTTCACCACCACCTCTGGGATTGGCTGCGTGATACAGGGCGAGTTACTGGACAGGAGCCAGATCCCAGGGCCAACTGCCAGGGTCTATATCCTGGCTGCACCACGTATTAGCTCTGTGACCTTGGAAAAGTGACAGAAGCCTGTTTCTTCATCTATTAAATGGGCCTAATAATAGCACCTCCCCATAGGGTTGCCATAAGGAGAAAACTAGAGATCCACTGTAAGCTTTCCCTAGATCAGCACGTAGTAAGTAGTGTGTGCTCTGTGCCATCTTCCCGAAGCCAGCACTCTACAACCCACCCAGAAAAGCAGCAAGACAGTGGGCTCCAATAACGTGTGTGACTTTTAAAGGTTGCCAACCCCTGCTCTAAATAGTGCAGAGGACAGGGCTACCTGTTCTAAAACTTTGCCCCCAAAAACCATATGGCCTCTGTACATAATCCTTTCCAAAAACATCACTTTGCCTATCCAAAAGTATTTGTCTTACTATAACATCTTTGCTCGCTAATTAAATGATTTTTACTTAATTAAATAAATCCAAACTCTCAAGTTAATGCAGTTAAGCCAAATCCTTCACAGAGTTTACAAAGCCCTTCAAGATTTCACCTCTGCTTAACCCTGAGTTCTAATCCTCCCACCTTCCCTTTTATCCACGTAGAATTTGTTCTTTGAAAGCCCCATGTTCTCTCTCCCCTCCATTCCTTTTTACGTGTTGTTTCCTCAGCCTGGCTTACACTTCCTGCCCTTCTTAGCCTTCGGTCTCAGCTAAGCCATCACTTCCTTCAGAAGGCTGCCCTTTCCCCCAAGATGGGATTGGATGTCCCTCCCGAGCCCTGATGGCCACTCATCACTCTAATCACAAATAGCTCACTTCCTGGTCTGTATCCCCCTCACCGCTGTATCCCCCTAACTTAGTATGTGCTCAATAAATATAGAATCAGCGAGCGAGCAAATGCATGAGGAAAGTTAAATTCTGTCGAATCAAGTGAATGAATGAACGAGGAGAGTTAGACTCACTTTTTCCTTTCAATATATCATCGATACGGGAAATGGCGTGTTTCTTCATTTCGAAAAATCTTTATATCTTTATTTACTTGAAGATGTACTTTCATCTTTTCTTCCCCATCTAAACAACCACTGCTGAACCTTATACTTAATGCAGCACAAGATAAGCCCTAAAATCATTCACTGATTTGGTCCAATGCAGGAAGTTTTTCTGCATGTTTAGGTTCTAGTTTACTGCTGTTGGTTTTTTTAAAAAATATCTAAAAAAAAATAAAAATAAAATAAAATAAATATCTAATGCTCAGTTATTGATTGAAGCATCACTTGTTGCCTCTTCTGCCCATAGCACAGGGTAGAGGTTAGGGAAGGAAGGATAACCCTCTGTCCCTGCTGCCCAGGACCTTAACCAGGTGAGAAGATACGGTTGCCATAGTGAAATAAGCACAAATACAGAACATGAAGTAAAGCTATATTGTCTCATTTTGATTTTATGCAACCTTGAGAAATAAACAGAACAAATATAATTGATCCCTACTTGCAGATGACAGAAACCAGCTCGGAGGTGACATGATTTGCCAGCTGATGCACAGATAGGTAGTGGCAAACCCAGAACTTAAGCCCAGGTCTGTCCAGTCCCAAATCTAGATTATGCCCTGCTGGCCCCCTCCCTGCCCCTGGGACACTACATGCCCAGTGACCCGTGGAGTCAAGTGAAAGGCAGGGCCCAAAACTCCTGTAAGTTCACATGAGGGGACATCACATGGAGAAACCTCCTCAAAGCCTCAGAGGCAGGCAGCCCTGTGGAGTTTCGGGAGCGGGGAGTTGCACGGTTTGATGTCAATTTCCTGACAAACGTGGACCATCTCCATTCAGGCACTTTGCTGGAGGAGAATATCATTTTTCTTCCCTTGGTGGAAAAGGAAGAGAAGCCTATCCCAAGAAGTTTTCTGTCTTAATATGCGAACTAAAAATTCAAAGTGACAAGGGGAATTCCCTGGCAGTCCAGCGGTTAGGACTCAGCACTTTCACTACCGTGGCCCGGGTTCAATCCCCAGTCAGGGAACTAAGATCCCATCCCGCAAGCCTCGCAGCGCAGCCAAAAAAGCAAGACATAGGAGTTGGGGCTTTCTGCTCTAGTTTTTGCTTTACATCAAATCAAAGAACTCTAGGTCCACATTAAGAAGATTAAATTAACATTAGGGGCACCATTAGTTTGTTTACCCAGCATAAAATTATGTCCTCTATAAATGGGAATATCAAATAGCATAAAAAGCCCAGATGATTTACATTTTCTTTTTGATTAGAGGATTGCATGTACTGTACCAAGGAAGGAAAATCTCTCCCATTTAGCTTTTGAAGATCAAAGCAGCCACTAAATATGCCATATTACCAGCATTTTTTTTTTCTTTTTTGGTTAAGACTAGGAGGTACTTTGCAAATTGAGATCGTCATGGAGAAAAGGGAGGACTTTATTTGGGGTCATATGTACTGATTACAGACCAGTTCACTCCCCTCGGGCTGGACCCTGTGCTTAACCTTTTATTCAGATAGGGCTGTCTACAGCTTAAAGCTCACACTGACCTGTCTACTGAGTTTTGTGTACATAGACTTGACCAAGAGAGTACAAACTGAGAGCTTTCAGAGGCACCATCTGATTCCAAAAGTTAGGGATCTTTCTGTAGCACATTTGATAAAATCTACAAAGACGAAATGAAGTCACAAGTAAAAATCACTGATACAGGAGGATGAACCTATGTAGGTATTCAGTTGGGATAAGTCTTGCTTTCCTCCCACGAAAGGCTCAGACTGAGTCGTTGTTCAGGCAACAGTCGAATTTCCCTTCCCAGATAAACAGCTAAATGTGTAGATCACTAGCTAAGTGTGAAATCCATTTTATCTTCAGCAGCTTGGTACTTATTCAACTTATGGTGTGTCTTAAGTAACAGCATTCTTTGCATCAAGGCCATTTACTGGTTTAACATTATAGACATTTGTTTTCCAGCATATATAAATTAACCATCCCCCATTTTTAAAAAATCACTGAATTGTACACTTGATTTTTTAAAATTTTAAAAATAAATTTATTTATTTATTCATTTTTGACTGTGTTGGATCTTCGTTGCTGTGCACAGGCTTTGTCTAGTTGCAGCCAGTGGGGGTTATTCTTCATTGGGGTGCACGGGCTTCTCATTGTGGTGGCTTCTCTTGTTGCGGGGCACGGGCTTTAGGCATGAGGGCTCAGTAGTCATGGCTCGCGGGCTCTAGAGCACAGGCTTAGTAGTTGTGGCGCACGGGCTTAGTTGCTCCGCAGCATGTGGGATCTTCCCGGACCTGGACTCGAACCCGTGTCCCCTGCATTGGCAGGCGGATTCATAACCACTGCACCACCAAGGAAGTCCCCATCCCCCATTTTTATTCCATATTTCAATGAACTTAGGTAATTATGACTTTTTGCCCTTATGTGTAGTGTGTAGGTCTAATCTGAGCCTGGGATGTGTCTTTCCCATGTAGATAGTAAAAGGAAAAGTGTAGGAGAAAGATGGAGATTATTTCGAATAAGATGATCAGCTAAAGAGAATGAGTAAATCTGTTTGGATAAAGGACTTGACATTTCTTTTCTGCTTTGGGCAGTCAACAACCCATAGAAGACAAATACTCAGACCTGCGATATGACCCAAATTGGAAGAGGAAAAAAGAGGAGGGGAAGTTGTTGGCTGTGGAAGCATTGCCAGAGTCTGTGGACAGCTCTGCAGAAAATCTGACTTTGAATCCACTTTACCCTTCCAAGGAGACTTCGATGGAACTCTCAGGGGGGAAAGGTGAACAGAAGAAGAGCCCACCGAGCACAGCCTCCTTACTTGGGAGTGAATTTTTAAGCCCAAACTACGAGCATGGTGCCCATCGCAGCGGGCCGTTTTCAGTGCTGAGCAGCAGTGACCAGGAGGAGAAGTCCAGCAACCTCTCTCAGTACTTGAAGAGTTCAAGTTCACAGAGTGAGGTATTCCTGCCAGGATCACACGGCCCTCGGCGAAGGAAGTCCAAACAGTATTTTGTGGAAAAAAACAAACTGACCTTGGGATTACCCACTCCGAAAACAGACTCTTATCTTCAACTTCACAATAAAAAAAGGCGGGAAACTCACCCAGAACAGGTATGTAGCAGCTACTTAAAAATCCCTTCTGAGCACTAGACTGGAATTTGCCTTTGTTTGAAATGGCTAGGTATCACTTCCTTTGGGATGGTGACATCATTGTAACCACCTGGCTGAGTAAAATGAACTCCGTGTCCCTTGCCCCTCTTTGAAGAATCAAGGGAATTATTCCACAGTCTTAAGAGCAAAATAAAAGCCATCAATGGCTTACAGTGCTGTAATTCAATTATTATATTCAAAATGTTTCTATTCAAGGGACCGTAGAATTTTTTTTTAACTGTGTGCTCCATTAGATAAAATACAGGGCTGAGAGTCTGATTCCCTATGTTGGTTGCCTTTGTTCCCACTAAGGCACTGGTTTTCAACCCTATTAAATTCCTCCAGTACATTGGAGGTGCAATGACACACTCATATCAATAACAGCAGCTCACTTACAGAAGTGATTCTCAACTTAGATTCTGTGTACATATTGGGTGGTAGTGCAAGGAGGGCAGGATACAACATGAGTATTTTTCTTTTTATTATCCAGTCGATTCTATTATCTTTCTATTATCTTTCCAACTTCCACTGATAATCACTGTACAGTCTTTTATCCTGTGCAAATGATGTGATACCATTACAAACTTTAGTCTCCCCATCTATAAAATTGGAATAATAAGTGCCGTCCCTTTCTCATCTGATCGTTTTGAGGGTATATTCTATCCCAGATGATGGATTCAAAACCTGTTGGAAGGGGGCTTCCCTGGTGGCGCAGTGGTTGAGAGTCTGTCTGCCGATGCAGGGGACGCGGGTTCGTGCCCCGGTCTGGGAAGATCCCACATGCCGCGGAGCGGCTGGGCCCGTGAGCCATGGCTGCTGAGCCTGCGCGTCCGGAGCCTGTGCTCCGCAACGGGAGAGGCCCGCCTACCGCAAAAAAAAACTCAAAAAAAAAAAAACCTGTTGGAGGACTTCCCTGGTGGTCCAGTGGTTAAGACACCACGCTTCCACTGCAGGGGGCACAGGTTCGATCCCTGGTGGGGGAACTAAGATCCCGCATGCTGTGCGGCACGGCCAAAAAACAGAAAAAAACAAACAAAAAAAAGCCTGTTGGAGCCAGTAAACTTAGTTCTATTTCATGGGTGCACATAAAGATCACATCTGCCCACTTCCTAGTTGATATGTTTGTGAACATGGGAAAACTGGCTGGATCAGTGCATCCACCACCCTTATTGAGGAGACAACTTGAAATTCATCACCCACTAATGTGGGATCATTTTCAAATATGAAGGAGAGGTTATTACATTAAATAGGCAGGCCCTTAGACCTCTCCCAAATTCAAACTGATATTATGTAGAGTACTCTCACCTGTTCTAACCTGTAAGTATTTCCTGATAGAACAAGAGGGATGAGGTGGGTGAACATTTGTGATTTTTTCTTCTTAATTGAGAAACTCCTTATATGGTCTTAAAAGATTATGTCACATCCTTGCCTTTGTAACTAATAATAAAACAAAGGAATGGGTGTGTATATTTAGTTGATTATCAAAATGAATACTTAGCTGACTTCAAACAGAATTTTTAACATTTTTGACTCAGTTTTAGTTGTTAATGTACTTTTCCATAAAACTTCTGTGAAATTTTGAATTTTGCTTGGCTGCTCATTTTAAAATATAAATTCTATGAAAAATGTTTATAGCCAATAATTTCTCCTAGACTAGGACAATATTTTTCCTTTATTTTTAAATGTGTTCTCTCAAAAGAGAAGAGGCAAATAGGCCAAAAAAATTAGTTATATCTCTAATAATAAAAGTGAAAAAAGATTTATTATAAACTCTTTAATTGATTTTGTAATTGCTAATTTTTCTTAATAGTTATAACTTAATTTACAAACAATATCATGGTGTGTTGCCGGTGATTCCATAGCATAATTTTCTTCTCATTATGCCAAGGAGGAAACTTTAAAGCATTTTAGGCTTGCCCAGTCTTTAAGCTTGTGAATTATTCTTTGAAGTGGCCATTGACCTTGTCCACCACTTTCTCCAGGTTCAAATGTTTAAGGGCTGATTGCTAATTATATTCAAAATTGTTTCTTCACCATTTTCCAACCTATATTTCCTTCATTTTACTCCTATTCTTTTAAAAAAGGATACAAATTAGTTTGACCTTACAATGATAGAATGATAGGTATAACTTGTTTATTGAATTATAGTCAGTAGCATGGAATGTGTTCCTTTCAAATCGTTATTTATATATGCAGTATGTGCAGGTTTTTCTACCAGTGCAGGTTATATGTCCCCTGATGAGCAAGAACTATGCTTTGTATTTATTTTTAATCTTCATGGTAATTAGCCTAACACATTGTAAGGGCTCAGTAAGTACATGGGAAATGAAACGTGTCTGTCTTCCATCACCTCCAAACTATTTACCATCTCCTTCTCTTTACTGTGATTTGAAGTTTATGTGGGAGAAACGGTATTTCTAGAGCAGTGGTTTGAAATTCTGGCTGGAATTTAGATTCATCTGAGAAAAAAACCCAAAGTGATTCTCAGCTCTACCCAGACCAGTTTATGTATCTGGGTGAGATCCCGAGCATCAGTATTTTTTTTAAAGATCCTCAAGTGGTTCTAACATGAAGCCAGGTTTGAGAAGCATTGCTCCAGACTAGAGCAGTGGCTTTTGTCCTTGGCTTCACATTGGAATCACCTGGAAAATGAAAAGAATACTGGTTCCTTGGCCTGCAGCCCTGAAACTCTAATTTAAGTCATCTGGGGTACACCGTAAGCATGGGGAGCTTTCAAAGCTCCCCAGGTATTCCTAGTGTTTCATTAAGACTGATCTAGAGCAGTGAGTCTCAAACATCAGAATCATCAGGAGGTCTTGTTCCTGGACCTAACCCAAGGATTTCTATTATCTTTAGAAAGATAATTTCTATTATCTTTCTGTTATCATGTAGGGGTAGGGTAGGGCCCAGGGATTTGAATTTTCTACATGGTTCCAGGGGACGCCACTTCTGCTACCAGGCCAACACTTTAAGAACCACTGATCCTTTTTTCCCTCAAACTTTAAGATACTTAAGAACGCCCTGAGGATCTCGTTAAAATACAGATTTTGATCCAGTAAATCTGGGGTGAGACTCAACAGTCTGCATTTCTATCAAGCTCCGAGGTGATGCCAAGGCAGTTGGTGCTTGGACCACACAGAAAGAACATAAAGGGTTTTTCAGAAACCTACAGTAACAATTGTGTAAGTCAGTACCCATTGATCCTTGATGTTTGCAATGGCTGATCAGATTACTGTGTTGATTTGCGGGGTGGGAGGTAAGAAGTTGGGGTGGCAGGTTTGGAGGCTGTTTTATATTAAGCAGCATCCATCTGGAAGGTTTTCATATTTGAAAGTCTGTTTTCCCCTACTCTTTTCTTTGAAAGAGATGACAAATATCTTAAAACTAGAAATACTGAAAGGATACATGACCTCTGTTGTTCAATGAATGAATAAATGTCAATTACCGTTACATGGCCAAGAAAACCCAGCTTTTTAATATATCATTTTGTTGCAAGCCTCCATGCCCAGTTGAATCAGACAGGGTCTTAAGCAGTGTATTGTATTTGGGAAGATTTGAAAGTCTAAGAAGTTCACAACATCCCAGTAAAAAATGTGAACCTTTTTTTAAAAAAAAAAAAAAAAACTTGAAAAGTTCACATTAAAAAAAACAGGCAAGAATAATAAAGTAGGGATTTCCCTGGTGGCGCAGTGGTTAAGAATCTGCCTGCCAATGCAGGGCACATGGGTTCGAGCCCTGTTCCGGGAAGATCCCACATGCTGCAGAGCAACTAAGCCCATATGCCACAACTACTAAGCCTGGGCTCTAGAGCCCGCGAGTCACAACTACTGAGCCTGCATGCCACAACTACTGAGCCTGCATGCCACAACTACTGAAGCCCGCTTGCCTAGAGCCCGTGCTCCACAACAAGAGAAGCCACTGCAATGAGAAACCCGCACACCACAAGGAAGAGTAACCCCCGCTCGCCGCAACTAGAGAAAGCCCACATGCAGCAATGAAGACCCAATGCAGCCAAAAATAAATAAAATAAAATAAATTAAAAAAAAAAAAGAATGGTAAAGCAAGCTCTGGAAATTAAGAGTCATGAGAGAATCTAGCCCCACTAGATAATAGAGTATATTTTAAGCCTCATTAATTAAATAGTAGGGTAATATTTAATGCATATACAGACAGAAAAATAGAAGAATAGAATAGAAAGTCTAGAAATAGAACCAAATTAGTGTGAGAATACATGATCTGATATTGTGATTTGATAAAGGTAGGACCCGATTTGAGGTCCAAAATCTACGAAAGGCTGATAGATTTGACTACAGTTGACCCTTGGACAACATGGGTTTGATCTGTACAGGTCCACTTATTTGTGGATTATTTAAAAAATACGTACTACAGTACTACACGATCTTTAGTTGGTTGAATTCACAAATACAGAACTACAGATATGGAGGGCTGACTGTAAAGTTATACATAGATTTTCAACTGCGTGGAGGGTCAGTGCCCCTAACCCCCACTTTGTTTGGGTCAACTGTACATAAATATCAAAAGCTTCTGCAAGAAAAAAGGCATAAGAAAGCCAAAATATAAAGAACTAGAAAAAATATTTCTAATTCATATCACAGCCAAAACACTAATAGCTCTCATATATAAAGAGCTCCTAGAAATCAATAAGAAAAAGACCAATATCCCAATATAAAAATTCACAAAAGATATGAATAGATAATTCACAGAAAAGTTAATACATATGGCTATTAAACATATGAAAAGATATTCAACTTTGGTCATTATAAGAGAAATCCAAATTAATACTACATTGGGATTCCATTTTTCATCTATAATTAAACCAACAAAATTCCCAGTTTTTGCCCAGTTTACCTCTGGGCAAAAAAGTACAGTCAAGCTGATGAGAGAATAAATTGGATTAACTAGTATGGGGGACAATTTGTTAATATCTACTTAACATACAA